ATTTTGGAGGACAACGCAGAGAATCGATGCAAATCAGAAGACATAGTCTGCAGCGTGAAGAACATGATTAATTTCTTTTATTGAGTATTGATATGTTGTGGTTCTTTTAAAAAAGGAAATAATTGAGGCCATGATTTATTTCTAACTGAAAAACTAAACAATGCGAACTTGATTGCGTTGAGAAAAATTGTAATTATTTATTAAAAAATCCAAAAAACCAATTTCCCCCTCAAACGAGCAAGAATTTGCAGCCTTTTGCATTCTGGAAAGCTTACGTCATCCTTGGCTTTGGTGCCCTCCCTCCCTCACCGTCACCCACCGTCACCGACCGCTATACTCCCCATCCCCTACTTGAGTGACGTAATTTATAGATGGCCCCTAAGGATTCTCATTTATATATCAATTGAATCCAAATAATTACGGTGATGAAAATAAATCGATGCGTGTCGCTTTCCGCTCACATAACACTAATAGCGTCTATACAAAAGCGAGAGAATTAAAATTATTGTTGAATGACGTCATTCGTTGCATTTTCCGATTAGCGACGTCCCTGCTGAAACCATGGGCGTTAAAACTTGGCATTTGGGCGGGGTTCATTACTTTTTGCCAGTCCGTATGATCCAAATACAGAAAAATATCCGCCACATACACGCGGCGCTTAACGATAACACTTCACACAGCAATAACTTTTTTAACGCGCAGAACATTTTCCGTGCTTTTGGTTAGTTCGAGTTACCGACTTTTCTTTCGGTTGGATCAATCAAAACGATTTTGACGATCGGCCAAATTTCTGGTTTAATCAACCGAAACTTGCTGAAGAACTCCCTGTCAAAACAGTATCGAAAGCCCATGAGATTCTAATGGGTCCCCGTAGAGATTCTACAGGGACTCACTGGAACCCGCGGGCCCCTGCTCCCTATGAGGGGATTGAAGAGATCAGCAGAAACTCACGAGTCAGTCAGAGTGACCTACGGGCGGTCCCTCAGGGTTCCCAGATGGTTCCCTCGGGCTCCCGTAGGGTTTCCATGGGAATCTGGGACAACTCCCAATGGGTTTCTGCAAGGCCCCGTGCAATTCCTCCATGGGACCGTTTTGACAGGGCCATTTGGTAAGTCCGATTTCCATCGTAACTCTTCGTGTCTAGTTTTCACGGGTTTGCAGTTTTTCAGCAAAATAATTGAGAAACTAATTTAACTGAGAGACTTGGTCATATTGACCAAGAGAAATCAACCGAAAGTTTGTCCGTAGGTTGAAATTTTTTAGCTAACGTGCGTTAAAAATCAGCATGTAGCTGATAATCTCAATACATAGAGAAAAAGCTCATATGAGCATTACCCCTCGAAGAGATACGCTGTTTGGTGCAACACTAGTAACGACCATTCAGGAAGGCAACGGCAGACGCGCATCAGAGTACGCGTATCGCTACACGGAGAAAAAAACCTCGTGCGTGGGACCCGAAGTTTAGGTCATATGGATCTCTGAAGTTTTTGGATTGAGCATCTGAAGTACTTCAGATTTGAGAACCGAAGCTTTTCGGATGTGAGAACCGAAGTGTTTCGGATGTGAGAACCGAAGTTATTCGGATGTAAAACCAAAGTACTTCAGATGTAAAAACTAAAGTTTCAGATGTGTGATCCAAACCTCAGCAGCTAGACATAAAGTGTTCAGATGCTCAATCCGAAAACTTCAGGGATCCATATGACCTAAACTTCGGGTCCCACGCACGAAGTTTTTTTCTCCGTGTACATCGAGCACAACGTTTCTCTTTAAGGGAAAACTGTGCTCATATGAGCATTTTCCCTCTGTATTGAACTTTCCAGCTTTATTCTGATTTTTGACACATGTTGGCTAAAAGACTCCAACATACTGTCTTAGGACCCGTGCGCCCACCGCAATCAGTTAGTACGAAAGTCTGTGTTGCG